ATAATAATAATAATAATAATAATAATAATAATAAAAGAAAATGGAGCTTCCCTACCATCAAAAAATCCAAACTAAATAAAAGCCAAAGCTCTCGAGCTAAAATCGTCAAACTACCACAGATAAACTTGAAATAGACATATGAATCAAGTCAATGAGAAACACAATACCAGAATGAATAAAATGCAAATACGAAATGAAAAAAAAAAAAAGTACGAGCGCTGTAGGAGGTAGGTGGATCCCTTTGCAGATCCTTTAGCTCCTTGAGGATTCTTTTCGATGCCAGCGAACAAACCAGCAAGGGACGACTCCGATCTGACGAATTTTTCTTTTGCGAGATGAAAAATGACCAAGAGAAAACAAAATTGTTAAATGATAGGATAAATGAATAATAGGTTGTATTTCCTATCTTTATGCAGCTATTATTCACCCTCTATTGCAGAAAAATGAGTACCCCAAAACGGCACAAATGAAGAAGATGAGGGATAACCGCAAGCTGGCTTCGAGACGAAACCCCCTATTTCTCTCTCGATTCTCGTCGAGCGAGTGGGATGCTTGTCAAAAGTACAATACCCTTCTCCCTCTCTCAATTCCGACCGTGTGCGTGAAGATGGTGTCCTACGAACCGAACACTGGCGAAACACCCTATTATGACCGAGATCGAGTTCGCCTGAAGATGTACGACGACCGAGATTGCGTGAAGATGAGGCTTTAGGTGAAGATTTGCGACGACCAAGACCGAGATTGCGCGAAGTAGTGCTTGAAGAATTTTTTTTTTTTTTTTGTTTGGAAAAGAAAAAAGAGAAATAAATTAATGACAAAGGACATTCATCTCCAAAATTTCTGTCATGTTATTGTAAAGACTACATTTTTTCCCTGAAATTCTTTTCGATCAGTCGATAAAACCTGTTTTTTGAAACACGGTGTTGCGGACCCGACGCAAATCCCAGCCCTTCAGTGTCCTCCCGGCGTCCTCGAACACCGAGAACGTCACGTGCGGCCTGCCACTGTCGTCCTCCTCCACCTAGCCGAAGCCCTTCAAATTCTTCGGCCACGCCAAGATGTTCACGGGTACCGATTGTCGAAACTTTGCCGAAGTATTACTATCCCCCTGCTGTAACTGTTTCAGGATTGCCACGGGGCTAGATTTCCGGCAGACGGGGAGGTGGGCGTCGTCCAAGAGGAGGGCCGAGAGGCCAGATCTCTCCGGATTGAAACGACGGCGGCCGTCGATGGAGATGGTGAATGACCAGACGACGTCGCTCTCGTGGAGCTCGAGCGGGTCGCCATCGCGGGTCGGGTTGAATCGGACGGGCTCGGGCTTTCCGGCGAGTCCGATTAAGCAGAAGGTGGGGGGAGGAGGTGGGCGGTGGACAGGTGACATGCCTTCAAGAATACCTCCATTGAAGAAAACCCTAGTTTTTCTAGTGAAGAATGCGGATATAGGTGAAAATGGAGAGAAAAAATGGGACATGAAAAATGGGCTGGGGAATTGGGATAAAATTTGACAATTGGGTGTAAGGGTAAAATAGTATTTGTACATGTTAAAATGGCTAAAAAACATCTTTTTTACATAACATGGCTAAAATTCATCTTTTGTAAATTTATATGGCTATTTAATGATATTAACACAAAATCCTTCAACCGGTACCGAAACGCAAACCCAAAATGGGTTTTGGTCCATTTCTCTCCCCTCCCAACTGCATATTTGCGAATCTTTTTATATTTCACATACGCAAATCTTTTTTATTTGTGTTTTGGCCCTTCTATTTTCAAAAATTAAGTTTTAGTTTATTTATCAAAATTTATGGTTTGTCTATAAGTTGTTATTTTTTTCTATATAAAATTTTAATATAAGTATGTAAAAATTCATGAATGAAATTTTTTGTTTAAAATTTTAATATAAATGTATAAGAAAATAATGAACAGTATATATATATATATATTTGTTGTGTAGGCACATAGTTGTTATATTTTTATATATAAAAGTATAATAAAAAACTAGTGAACTAAATATATTTGTTTATCTATGATTTGTATTCATACATGCTTTTATTTTACATGTAACAACAAAAAAATACTAAAAAAATATGAAATATACACAAATAAATTTATATATTTATATAGGGTGTGCATTCAATAAAATATTAATCAAAAATTATAAAGGGAGGTAAATCCAGCTGCGAGGTAAACCTTTGAGTGCCTTTCTTATTTTTTGATTTTTTAAATGTAATGGCTAATTTTTTTTAAATATTTTATAAACCTCGCATGTAAATGAGAGCTACTGCCAATCCATTGCAAGTATCTTGCTTATAAATGTGGCAGATGGCCTTTGTATGGGTGATTACTCCTGTTTTGTGAAATAAAATCCACATTTGTTTGTTGTTTTATCAGACATGGTATGTGCACTTGTGCCAGTCGTTACACTTTATTTGATTAGCCAGTTTTTTTTATTTTTTTATTTTTTTTCTGTGCGCATCATCTTGTATGCAACACTTTTGACATTTAGATTTTGAGCAGGGCTCGTTACACTTCGATCATTGTACCAAAAATTAGAGCAAGTTTAGTGGTAGCATTTTGGTAAGGTTTGAAATTGTAAACTTCGGGTAAAGCGTGGCGTCTGTAACACAACTTTACATCTCAAATTTGTGTTTTTTCTTTTCCTTTAAACCAACAAAAAACCAAAAAGAGGTGTGTTGAACTCCAAGGTTAATTTGGAAGATTTGTATTACACGCGCACAATAAAACGTGATTTATAGGGTGACACGGGAGACAACAACATATAACTGGCTATGACTGAACACTGGTTTCTTAAGAAATAAGCCAACATGAGATAAGGATTGTCCCTGACTCTTGTTTATAGTCATGGCGTAAGAAACCATAATGAGAAACTGCCGCCTCTTGAACTTGAAAGAAATTCTAACATCAGAAGGGTTTATGGTCATTCTTGGAATCAACACCTTATCACCAACATGATCTCATGTGAGTATCTTACACTCAAGAACATGAGTGGATAGCTTTGTCACAACCAATCGTGCCTCATTACACAAACCCACAGAATGATCCATGTTCCGCAACAACATGACTGGAGTTCCAATCTTCAAATATAACTCATGGTTCGGTATTCCGGAACACTTGATACTATTCAAT